TATAAATCGTCAAAGTTATCAGGAGAATATATTCCGACAAGAGATAACACGAAAGTTGAAATACATCATGAAGTTTATCGTGAGTGTTACCACTATTTTCAGGAGTACAACAAAATGTCACTAGTTTCGGTCATGGCTTTGACCAATGAAGGCATTATCATTTTTTCTTGAAGTTTGGTGGAGATTGCGTCGTCCACGTGTAATGGTTAAGGTTATGTTTTCTATAAACACATCAAAAGTGATCATTTATATGTGAAATTAAATTTAATTATATAAATATAGAGATAAATTATGGCTTCGAATCGTATACATAACATAAGATTTTACAATTTGGAGCCGAAGTCGGTGACCTGCCTGTGTCATGAATTGAAAACGAAAAAGTTAGCCCTTGCAAGGTAATAGCAAATTTAGTAATTTGTACTACATTAAATTGCACTAAAATCTGCTACACATAAAATTGGCAAAGTTAAATATAAAAGCAGATAAATATTTTGAACAATTAAATACTCAGTAATGATATTGTCACGTTAGTTAATAGACTATGCTATTTTTATATTTTTTTATTTTATTGCCAAAGTCGATTAGATTATTTCATTGTATGTATTTAGATACTTTATATAAAATAGCTTTTTTAATGTACATTAATCTAATGTTATATAAGCAACTGAATTTATCACTAATACATACTTATGATTATATGTATTTAATGTCAGTAAACTCATAAGCTTTATATAAATTTATTATGACTGTCTTCTAATATTTCTTTCCTTTTTGAAGGAGCAATAATTCTATAGAAATCTGGAATGTGGAAAATGCACCATTTATCGAATGTACTATAGCTGGTCATGCCGAGAACTCAGTGGAAAGTATACTCTGGATTGATTCCAGACTGTTTTCCACAGGTCTTCAGGGTGTGGTAATTGAGTATGACTTAAAAACACTAAGTGTTAAACATGAAGCCATAGTGATAGGAGGAGCAGCCTGGTGCATGGATGTAAATCAAGAGAAGACTCGCTTGGCCGTTGGCACAGAGGACGGATATATCAATACTTTTACTGTACATAAAGATAAACTGATTTATGAGAGAATATTTGATAAGCAGAATGGAAGAATTTTATGTATTAAATGGGATAATACGGGTGAGATGATTTATACAGGTTCCACAGACACCATCAGAGTATGGAGTGCTATATCTGGACATGCAATACATAAAATGATAACTTCTAAAAATAATATAAAGGAAGAGACTATAGTTTGGTGCCTTGCAGTCACCGATGATAATATAATAATATCCGGTGACTCTCTTGGCTTTTTAAGCTTCTGGGATCCTCAGATGGGAGTCTTAATAGAGTCTCATGAAAGTCATACAGCTGATATATTAGCTATCACCTTGTCTCATGATAAGAATGTGGTATATTGCGCGGGTGTAGACCCAGTTGTACGGAGCTTTTGCAAAATTATCATGAAATCAAGTGGAAAACCTCAATGGGTGAAAGGAATTGAGAGGAGATTACACGTTCACGATGTCAGAGCACTTGTAGAAGCTAATGGAAAACTTTATTCGGCTGGGGTAGATGGATATCTTGCTGTGTCAAGTTATCCACCGAAAAATCTTGTAAAATATCCTCCACTACTGCAATCACCCTGTGCCATAATTTGCCGAAAATCTAGATGTATCTTATTACGTTACAGAAACTATTTAGAATTATGGAGACTTGGTTCAGCCACTAAAGATCCTCCAGAATTAATACGTTCTTCTATGCTGCATCAATTGGATGAAGAACCCATAAAGCTACTGCAATTACAAACAAAGGGTGACGAAAGCATTATTTCTTACGCCATTAACAAGGACTCGAAAACTATTGTGTACTCGACAGATACTCATGTCAGAGTTTTCAATTTTGACGTGGTGGAAGGAGATGCTATGTTATCTAGAAACGATACCGATTTATCTATGAAACGAATTCAAAAGATGCTTTTTAGTCCAAATGGCAAGTTATTTGTCGCTATTAACAACGACGGCAATGAGAATACCGTGACGCTATTCAAAGTGGATAAGAAGAGCTTAAGTCTGATTGGATCGTTCCAGACGACGAAGGAATCCATTGAAAATATCAGTCTTGTATGTTTTTCTCCAGACAACAAGTATCTTGTATGCGCAGATCGGCAATGCGGAATTGCCGTGTATTTTATTGGTGATGGTATAACAGCAGAGTCACTCAAGGCATGGCGATTACCAAAGTATAGTTGTCCAGCGACGGCAATAGCCGTGCAAAAAAATACGTTAAATCTGGTCATAGTATATTCTGACCATAAGGTAAATGTAGTCCGATATATATATGTGTGTGTGTGTGTGTGTGTGTGTGTGTGTGGTGCAATGATTTAAAAGTAATACGCGAATCATGCGTTACGTCGACGTTAAAATAATAACTGACTCGAATATGCACGATCATAAAGTGCAACGTTTAATGACCTGCGGCAGTAAAAATTCGCAATTTACTGTTAACTACTATGGTTTTATTTTTACGCGATGACGTTACATATAATTGCTCTATAATCCCGTTATTATCCGTTTATACAGACTTTATGAAGTCCTACAGTTTATTACTTTTTGATATAAGCAATATTAAATTTTAAGACGTACAATGAGGTATGTTAAAAAATCGTATGATCTAAATTAAAAGTCTTTGAAACAGTAATTCTACAATAAAATTAATATCTTGGAATGGACACAATCGAAGTTTTTAATATTTTAAGATACCTATTAAGATAGTGTGCCTTCCAACAAGCGACACAGTGTGACACAGTGATCATGTCATCTTTGTTTAACATTGGCAAACAACAAGGATGTAATGATCCATTGTGTCACACCGTGTTATTTGTGTCGCTTGTTGAAAGACACACATATTCTTGTTATTAATAATTATACAAACGATAATTCTTTTTCAGATCGTCGAGTACAATGTTCCTACGAAGAGTTACACAGAATTTTCTAATCATTTGCAAAGCCGGCTATCGAAACAGTGGTTAGCGCGTCCATTCCCAATAACAAACATTATATTCGACCCACGCAATGAGAATATTATAATCATGCAGGATGATTTAAGCGTGTATATTATTAATAAAAGCAGCGAATTATCAGAAAAAGAGGTAAAAATTTTTAAGCGTGAAAATGGAGAAAGTGCAGAAGATAGCAATTCGATTTCCAGCTCACAATCTCAATATACATTTCAAGTTGCCAAGAAATATAAGGTAATATTTCTCATTTAAAAGATACTTATTTTACAACAATTAATTACAGGAAAAAGAAAAAGAAAGAATTATAATTTTAATATTTGCAGCACCTTGTTTACTTAAATTGGTTGAACGATGAAGAGTTGGTAGCGGTTGAGGTAAATCCTACTTCCTTATTGGAGAAATTACCACCCACGTTAAAGCAGAAATTCTTTGGTATATAAATTGTATATTGCGAC